GATTTGATAAAATTAAAATCAATAAATCATTTCCTTTTTATGCCAAGAATTTTCTCTCTTTTGTGCTAATCATTTAAATCCGAAAGAGAAGAGATACTCAAAGGAATAAGGAACCATAACATAACAAAATAAGAAAGTTGAACGCACCAACTATGAAGAATATAAGTAAGCCCCAATTGGTGAAAGCAAATATGAAAAAGTTGGGCCAACACATGGCCATGCACGTGACATATTCACACTACGAAATAATGTATACCAGACATATTCAGAATAATTTCATGAATATATTAGAGAAAATTGAAGAGTGACATGTATACAGATTTTACCCTGCTATCTTATGCAGATAAATAAATGATTTTTGATAGACCATCCATCAAATATAATTTTAAGATATTATGTAAATATTGTATTTGTAAAATTTTAAATTTAGAATAATGGCTATTTTTCAATTACAAAGATTCAACGCCTGTGGCTAATTATTGTAAATTTTTCCCATAATATTGTCATTGATGTCCTTTGGGTACTAATTTCATTTTCTTTTGTTTTGTTTTTCCATGAAGGTGTAGATTTAATTCTGTCTTTCCATTGTATTACTTTGGGTACTATGGTTAACAACTTTAAAAGATGGTCACATTACAATTGGTTTGTTTTAGTTATTATTTTGATAATTAAAAATATTTTAAAAATATTTTAAATTATTGATTAGGGTGATGGTCATCATTTTTGTTTAATCCCATTAGAAAAGGAATTGTTTTGGGACAATTCAGCGTTGTGTTCGGGAAGTTATGATATATCCCCCTCTTATGTACTCGTTTTTATAAAAATAATAATAAATGGAAGTGCGATTCTAATAATAACTAAAAAAAAATTATTGTGATATGTAATATTTTTTTATACTTTTTCTGTCCTAATTTATTATGGCGCATATTTGAAAACTATAATTTTGAGATTTATGTTTGAAAATATCATTAACTAATAAAAGTGTGATATCTCTAACAACTTAAGATTTTAGATGAGATTGACACACACTTCAACATGATATTAGAGCAGACAGAGGTCCTTCGCCACCCAAATCAAAAAGAATTTTCACGTGCCCATGAAAAAGATTCAAGCCCGCACATGAGGCAGCGTGTTGAGAATATCATTCACTAATAAAAGTATGCTCTCTCTAACACATAAAAGACAAAAAAATTGATCAAAGAAATTCTAGCAATTCCAATTGTGCCATATAAATAGAAACATAAAAATTGTTTCTACATGAGTAAATTTTATATTAAAAAATAATTGAAGATTATATGTCTAAATTTATATCGAATATTAGTTAGTTTAACATAATATTCCGAATCAAACCAAATAGAGGGAGAGAGTATCTTATTCCACATCGATCTGCAGTGGGGAAAAGCATAAATCTACAATTACACTCTTCGTGGGGCAATTCTCAATTGCAGTTGTTAAGTCACTTTCACATGCCATATGCATGCATGCCTTAATAATTATATGATAAGTTCATCTTCTTTTCTTTTTATTTTAGCAACAACAAAAAAAAACTTTATATTAAAATAATGCTCTTAATAAAGGTAATTTTATGTCCGCAGCTTAAATTTGAGACCACTAATTAAGAATGGAAGAGTATTTATCACTCCACCACAACATAATTCTAACATCTTCAATCAGTAATACCAACTAATGACAATAACTTAATTGTCACTAAATATGTTTTTTTTATAGTCAATTAACACTCTTTATAATGTTTTTAAAGCCTATAACTGCTACATTAAATCTAATTAATGACAATTAATTAATACCGATAAAAAAATTCAGCGCTCTTTGTTGATATGATTATTTATTACCGATGAAAAATTATTTTTGTTATAGTGAATAATCAGTTGAGATAATTAAAATGAATGACCTATAGTCAGTTTGACTAATTAACACTGTGAAATGTATCATTTTGATATAAGAAAATTACAACCTAATTAGGAGTATATTTCAAGTGCAGTTTACAAAGGTTTGAGCAAGAGCTTATTTTATTGTTAGGAGTATTTTTTAAACAAAAAGTACTCTATCCGTTCAAAAATAGTTATCATATTTTACTTTTAGAGAGTTAATTTGATTAATTTTCGAAGTTAATCAAATTAAGTAAATCTAATATTTTAAAGTTAAAAGTTGAATATTCAAAAATTATATTAAAAAAAAGTATTATAAGTTACAATTTTCACGTATTAATATAAAAAAAAATGGTAAAATATTGATCAATGAGTATATAGGTTAATGTCTTAATTTTTGTAGCCTCCACTGAAAAGCCGCAATTAGCCAACTAATTAAAGAGCCCCAACCTAGAGTAGCTAGGTGGATATATAAAATTATAAAAAGGATCTTGAACTAGCATGATCTAATTAAGGTTGAATGTACAATATCTTGAGTTTGATTCTTTGACAAAACAAAGTAAATGTAAATTATATTACTTCATACTTGAATAATAATAATAATAATAATTATTATTATTATATAATTAAATATTTAATAATAGTAGTAGTAATCAGGGGCAGACCCACCCTTATCGAAGGGGTGTCAAGTGATACCCTTCATTGCATAATTACATTGTATATATGGATCAATTTTAATTTAATAAATATATATACGAGTATTGACACCTCTTGTCACAAATTAAAAATTTAGCTAGTGATTAAGGTGTTGTGAAAATTCTTTAAGATGGTGTGTTCTAATCTTAAAACACAAATGACTATAAAATAGTCAAAATTCCTCCTTAATAATGTATGGGTAGAGCCACCTTACGCGAAGGGTGGTCTAGTGCACCACTATACAAGTGTTAAATATTAGTAGTTTTTATGAGTGTATATTTAATTTGTACATCCTTGACACAATTGGAAAAAAAAAAAACTTGCACACAGTCTTCGTCCAATTTCTGACTTTGCCACTATATTAATAATATTTTCTCAAGGACGTGTAAAAAGAAACACAACAAGTAAGCAGAGACAAACGAAATAATACTAAATATTACTCCTAATTATCAATTGTGGTGGAGTAGTAAGTTACTTCTTTATTTTTAACTAAAGATCTCGAGTTCAAATCTCCTTGAATACAGAGTCAAGTTTGTTAGAAAACGTTGATTTTACTAGGGTGATGAGGGTGGCGTGAAGACATTGATTAATATAAATAATAAGTGGACAAGAATATGCACGGGGATCATGAATTGGAAAATAGTACATCAAGTTGCAATTACAAGTTGCATATATCTATTCAAAATTGCCAGAAGATAAGTCGAGCAACTTGCATCTATCTCTCTGTCCTTTCTACTTTTTTTTCCTACTTAAAAACACTACGTACGTAAACAAATCCTGATATGACAATTGAATATATTGCAACTTGCTCTTTTTTTCTTTTTTCTTTTATTGATTGATAAATATAATAATACTATATACTATATGTCAGCTAGTTGGCCTCTATTTCCTTGAAGTCCCTTCCAACTTGCCTCTTTTATTCTCATCAACTTGTCTCAATAATTTATACGACACCTACTAACCATATACTATATTACTTCTAGTTTTTTAATTATATAATAATAATAATAATAATAATAATAATAATAATAATAATCGAATTCAAACAATATACTAATGTAAGGGTAAAAATTAATCAAATCTTACATTTTATGCTTCCTTATGACTGCTTGGAAGGAGTACTTGCCGATGTGAGACGTAAAAGCTCTCGTTACTATATATATATATATATATATATATATATATATATATATATATATATATATATATATATATATATATATAATGTCGTTGTATCGTGAAAAGTTATGGGAATACATTGTTTGAATTTCTTTTTCATTTATGAAACTTCAAAAAATTCCATACCATGTACATATATGCTTTAAATGGACAACTTTTGTGTTCCACATTTACTTACCATATCATCTAATTTTTTCTGTCCCTACATATATCTCGTATAACTTAATATATATATATATATATATATATATATATATATATATATATATATATATATATCCAGTTCCAATTGTATAGGGTTGATTAACTCACGAAATAAATTATGGGGTAATATAAAGAGTAACGCGTAATAATATGGCATACATGTTATTAACATTTCTACCTTGCCTATTGTACCACAAAAAAAATCAAATAATTTGACGATAAATTAAAGGAGAAATGATTTTAAGAAAATACTTTCTATACTGTGGTTGTACCTTGAGGGTTTGATGTAGTTAGTTACTATCCTTAATCCATGTATTTTATTTTATTTTTATTTTCATTCGGTGTCCAGTATATACATGGAATTCGACTAAATTCGGATTCACGTTAGAAAGTCCCACATTGAGACGTAAATCGCTTCCTAACAAAGGAGAATTCAAACTCGAAACCTCTAAATTATGGATGAAGGAGTACTTACCACTCCACCACATGAATTCTCGTTGGCTTAATCCATGTATATTACTCCATGGATGGAGTATCTAGTTAATGAACATTAATAAATCTCAGGCCAGTAAAGCACTATGTTTTGCTTAAACCTACGGATAACAAAATAATTAATGACAATTAAGTAACAAACGAAATTGTACCAAATGAAAATTAAGAGTCCATATATATAGTACTTGATGTTGTATATTATGAAAAACCTGTCATTAACTTAATATTTACCGCTTGATTACGTTGTTAAATTTATTCTTAAAACTATCAAACAAAATCAGAACCGTTTAGCTTCATTTTCATTCTTATAATTTGAATCATATACATATAGCACATATATTAAAAGAATTTTATTAATAATTAGGGCATTGCTAAATAATATATACTCCTATTAGTATTTCATTTCAATATTAATAATCTCTTGATAGTAATATATATATTATATATCCATCTTTGGACTTTATCAAGATTATGAATTGAAATTTGCATTACTTTAAAGGTTCTATCACAAATAATAAACTAGCATGGAAACAAAATTTTAAAAAAAAAACAACCATAGAAAGAAATTAATTCTAACCATGAATTTATCTTCAACAAGTGATGAACAACATTAGCTAAAAGGTGCAACGATTCTTCAAATCATCATACCCTAAAAACAAAACAAAAAAACTTCGATACATAATATCGATCACAAGTATAATTGACCGACCTCAATTAATTTCACAGAACATTTCATCTACTTGAATTCTCCGCGATCTGTTTCAACGATTGAAGATTACATTTTACAATAGTATCAACAAAAACACACGTTTCATCTCTAGTATTCCCCTTTGGTACATCAACAACGTACGATTCCACAACGATCGTCCCATTACCTAAAGGTTCCGGATGTAAAGTAGTAACAGATTTATAATTTGCGAGTCGGTGGTCCCCACCGACTACGCTAAAACTAATAACGTGGCGCTCTTCGTCAAGTATTTCCAGTCTCTCCGTGCTGTTGACAGCTGGCAGCCCGGAGATAACTCGGACTTCACGAAGAGTGCCTACGTTACCGTCTCCGTCGATGAGATGACAGCTCTTGACAAAGTGTTTGTACGCTTGAGGGTTGTCGAATCGACGGACGACGGACCATACGGTGGATACCGGTGCTGATATCCGCTGGATCGCGGCGGAGCAGCACTGGTTGGGTCCCACTAGATGCGCGTGATATTTGACGACGGAATCTGGTACCTCTTCGGTGCATGGTATTGGTGTGTGGCGCTGTAGTGATTGGTGGGATTGTTTGTTACAATTAGAAGGATTGTTGGAAGTGATTCTTTGGAGTAAAATTGATGATTTTTGAGGATTTGGAATCATTTTTTTTTTGTTGAATAATAAAATTTACAAACTATATGATAGTGGCTAATATAATGATTTTGATGAGAGTTTTTGTTGTGTTTTTTCTAGTGAATGATATAGTTTTGTATAGAGATATATAGAGGAGAGAGAGAGAGAGAGAGGGAGAAATTGGACTTTGAAAGGAAGAAGAGACAATAGGTTTCATGTGAGGATGATAAAAATAGGAAGCTAGTTGCTTATAGTCAACTTACCAAAACAACCCAAACCTTGAAGGATATTATTCTCTTTTTTTTTTCTTCTAAAAATAATACTAACATTTTTCCACTTTTCTTTTGGGAGTTTATTACCAAATGAAATATAATTAATTACATGTGCCAAATTAAATAATTGATCATATGAGTTGCAAATTCTAGTAAAAAACTAGATATATATGAGTGTGTTAGCACGAGGCCAATATATGTTACTTTTTATTTCTCAATTTATGTGATATAAAAGAACTTGAAGAGTCATTCAAATTTTTATATATTTTAAAAATATTTTAAGCACTTAATCATTATAGTTTATTTATATATTCCAACAATATATATACTCCTTATATCCCAATTTATGTGGCACAAATAGAATTTCAAGAGTCAACCAATTTTTTATATGTCTTTCAAATATTTCGAGTTGTTAATTATTAATATAATTTATAGTTTTTCTATGTCATTCAAATAATATATGTTACTTCCTCCATCCCAATTTATGTGGCACTGACAGAATCTTGAGAATTAATCAAATCTTTTATATGTTTTTTTCCAGATATTTTAAATTTTAAATTTTCGTAATTTATAATATTTTTACGTAATTATCAAATACATAAAAAACTAAAACATAATATTCGTGCCAAATTTCTTTCTTGACTAGTGAATACATATTCGTGCTTCTAGCGATTAGAAAAGAATTATTAAATCTTCTAAATGATTAATAATTTAATAGTAAATTAGATTTATTTCATCCTTTCTATGAGAAAAATGAAATATTCATTACGACATAATTTGATTTAATCATGTTCGGATTTTTTGGAGAGAGATGTACAACAAGGTAGAAAAGGTGTAGCAATAATAGATGCAATATTCAATACCTCTCCTTGCTTTTTTAACCGTAATCTAGTTAAAAGTTAGGGTGTGTTTGGTATGAAGGAAAATGTTTTCCTGGAAAATAAGTTGATTTTTGACTTATTTTCTCATGTTTGGTTGGTGAGTAGAAAATATTTTTCGGAAAAGATTTTTAGTGTATGATTTATGAATGAAAAATATTTTTGAGAAATATCTTTTATTTTAACTAGAGTAGAAAATAATTTTTGAAATTGAAAATATTTTTTAAAAACAAACTTAAATTTTTTTTGGGGGTGGAGCCTGGTAGGGGGTGGGTGGGGTGGGGGGATGGGTAGGGGGGTCGAGGGTTGGGGTGAAAAAATAAATTTTTGAAGTTGAAAGTATTTTTTAAAAACGAACTTAAATTTTTTTTGGAGGGGGGGCTGGTAGGGGGTGGGTGGGGTGCCGGGGGGACGGGTAGGGGTGACAAAAATTAAATTTTGAAATTGAAAATATTTTTGAAAAACAAACTTAAAAATTATTTTTTGGGGGTGGTGGTGGGGGGGGGGGGGTGATAAGGGGTGGGTGGGTGGGGGGTCGAGGGTAGGGGTGAAAAAATGAAATTTTGAAGTTGAAAATATTTTTTAAAAACAAACTCAAAATTTTTATTTTTTTTTGGGGGGGGCGGGGGGTTAAAAATTTGAAGTTGAAAATATTTTTTAAAAACAAACTTTTTTTTTTTGAAGGGGGTTGGGGCCTGATAGGGGGGCAGATTGGGGGGCGAGGGTAGTGGGTGGGGGGTAAAAAAATAAAAAATTGAAATTAGAAATATCTTTTAAAAACAATTTTTAATATTTTTTTGGGAGGGGGTGGGGGTAGGGGTGAAGGTGGGGTAAAAAGTTTGAATTTAAAAACAAGCTTTAAAATTATTTTTATTTTGGGGGGGGGGGGGGGGGTTGAGGGGCTGGTTTGAGGGTAGGGACAAATAAATTGATTTTTTCAACAAAAAATTAATTGTAATTTGAAGTTGGAAGAGAGGTTTGGAAAATGTTTTCCTTAAGTTTTGAAGGGAAGTCATTTTCCTTAAATTTGAGGAAAAAGAGTTGATTTGGAAAACATTTAACCCAACCAAACATGAGAAAATTGAAAAACAATTTCCTTCATACCAAACACACCCTTAGTCTTCCTCCTTTTCTGCTTTTATTAATAGTCCTTGTGAATTATTTTGAGTTTCTTTGAACTTGTATAATTTTATAACGTGACCTGATATCATGACGGATCTCTATCAATAAAATTTTCTAAGTGTATTTTTTTTTTAACAATACTTGCAAGGAGGATATATAATCACACATTTATAAGAAGTGTATGTTATTATTAATGACTCTCTTTAATGATTAATTATCAATAAAAGTAGTTATAGAAATTACATCAATCACAAAATGTTATGACAAATCAAGTGATTTTATGAGGAGATGTCTTACTTGGTCAATGTATACTATAGTCATCTTGTTATTAAGCAGCGGTTACTAGAAGCAACATCTTATATTCCACTTATATTTGCTACTACTTTTTTTTTATGAACTAATATAAATGTTTGCCCCCTTTTCTACTCACTCATCAAGCTAATTCTTGTATGATTTTTAGACCAAAAACATTGAAGATGTTTTCACAATTTATGTTCGTACATATTTTATATGGAGTCATTGTCCAAGACTTTTATAACAATGGTGTCATATGTGGGCCTCAACCAAACCAATTTTCTGATTTTATTATGACGCGTTTGATGGTTGTGATTACTGAATTTTGTTTATATTTGGTCTCCATGATGAAATTAACAAAAAATTCACTAGTTAAGTACCTAATTATCTCATTTCCATTCCCTTTTTAATATTATGAAAACTTACCAAAATTTGGACTTCAGATATATGTATTTGGTGTGGATATGTGTATCTCAGATATAAAGGGTCAAAATTAGGTGTAATTTGTTCTAAATACACTATATCCAAGTGGATTCGCATGCCGTATTTGACTCTCTCGCTTGTCTCTCTCCTATCTTGCTCGCCACTCTCCCTATATTTGGTATCCCAAATACATGTATCTAGCTCGATTCACAAGTATCCGGGATACATAGATTAACTCGTTCCCCTCTCTCCTTCTCTCGCTTGCCTCTCTCACTATTTTAGTGTATTTGATAGCAAAAATGCATGTATTTAGGTGCATTCGATATGAAATTCGATATGAAATTCTTAATTAGTAAGACAATATGTAATTATTCCAAACTATACGAAGAATTAATAAATATGATAGGAATGTTTGCCTAATTAGATAGTTTTTACTTATTAATATGCTTAACAAGGGTTTATTTGATAACATAAGGTTCAAAAATTGAAGATATTATGTAGATCATCAATCAAGCTAATGTTCTGGTGTCTCATTGTTTAAGGGAAGCTAATTAGATAGCGGACTGTTTGGCATATACCGCGACTTGTGTAAACATGTAAAAGATATGACATTTGAATCTAACTCAGTCGCAAAAGCTAGTTCATGAGGAGTGTGGATTGGGAGCCCGAACATGATAGACCTGGCTTTGATACCATGTAAAGATATGACACATACGTCTAACTCATCAATCTCAAAAGCTAGCTCATGAGGAGGGGATTGTTCAAGTCCATATAAGCAGATCGTCAGTCCATTCCTCAACATATGTATGGGACTTTAGCCCATTCTAACAAATACAATAGTGTTATCTAGTATCTACCAACCTTAATTTACAAGAAAAATGTAAATTTACATATAAAAGAACTTGAAAATTACTATAGTTTAGGTTTTTAAACTTCCTTCATGAAGAGCTCATAATTGCTGAAAGGGGTTCATGAAGAATGGTCTCCTCCTTATTTAATTTTTTTTTCTTTTTTTTTTAAGGGATGCAAAGACTGGTGGACCAAAGACTTTTAAACTAGCAATAACCATTTTGTACCAAATTCATAATTAGCTGCAAAACTGGATGACTTATTTTATATTTTCTTGTCTAAATTTGAATAAATTAATTATGTTTGGTAAAGTTGTAATATCATGCGTAACCACTTGCATTTGAACCTATATTGTCCACGCATAAAATTCTTTATAAAAAGTTTCAACGCCACATATATATCTGTTCCGCCCCACTGTCATCTCTAATTCATACACATTCATATATAGATATATTCATAAATATACACGAACATATGTAAGTACATATGTATATATGAAATGAACCAGAGATAATTTAATTCAAAATTTGATGTATATTGATCGTTGGAGGTGTTTGTATTTTAATTTTCTATTTGACTTATCACCAACTATTTAACAAATGTGCATTGTCTACGAGGAGCGAATACTTTTGGTGTTAGGATTTTGCTTCCTATGGTTATTATTTCAAATTGATAATTTAATTTTTATTGATGGTGTTTATGCTAAAACATGTGATTGATGGGTTAGGTTATACATTTCAAAGAAACTCACAAAAAGTTGAGGAGAGATCTCTTGCTTTCTTACAATTTGAATAGAAGAAAAATGACATTTTTAGATCTTAAAAAATGAAGATCTCTTATGAAAAATCGAGGAAATGAGATCTCTTATCCTCTTACAATTTGAATAGAAGAAAATGACATTTTTAGATCTTAAAAATGAAGATTTCTTATGTGTAAAAATAAAAATCTCTTATAAAAAGAAAACTATTTCGAATAATATTGAAGCGGTAAAAAATATTGTGACTTACCATAATTGATTTGGTTTATTTCAATATAAAAATTCAAAATTTGGTTCTTTAATTTTTAGGTGAAAGGTGACTCAAACCGAACAAGAAGTATCCCTACATCTATTCATGACCACAATTAACTCATAATTCTGTTGAAGGCCCAAAAAATAAAAAAGAATTAATTAAAACTACAAAACAATCCATATTTGTTAATATGTCCAACAAAGACATGTCTTTCTTTACTAGTATTATTTTGTTTTTGCGAAATATAATATTTTATATGGAGTTAATTTTTCGTCGCTCATGACTCAACTAATTACTTTGATCTTAGAAAATTATTCAACTAATGGTAATTATCTCATAAAGTCATTTAATTTTATTTTGTAACAGACGAGTCATTTAACTATTGTCATTCCACCAATAAATTAACTCGCTCAACTAATTCAAGAGATATTTCCCGTAAATATTGTTGATGTGGAATTCTTTTTGAGCCAAAATTTTAAAATAAGTAGCTATTTATTTTAATCAACTATTAAATCGACCCGCTTTTTATTTATTGAAATAAATCGTGTTCTAGTAGATTTGATCATTTTCACATAGTATAATGTTTTTATTAAGGTATGCAATTCTGAAACTAATTAAAGCTTATGCTTTGGTATGACATAACTTGTGTCAAGGGAGGTTCATTGTTCGATTTGGATCGGTTAGTGGTTAAAATTAAAATCAAATCAATTTAGCTGGTTTTTAAATTTCTAAAATCAAACCAAACCAAACAAAAAAATAACCGCCGAATTGGTTATTGTCGATTTTGTTCATTTTTTTTGGTTTTTTTGATTTTGAAGTAATAAAATTTTTTAGGACATACTTTCTCGATAGACATAGACAATCGGTTCACAAAAAGCTATTGTTTATTAAATTAAGCAATACTAGAGTTAGTATTACACGAACAAAGTGACTCAATTAAGAGAAAGTGTGACTATCTCATATGAGGTAGGGTACATAAAGACTAAAGTATGAATTTTGGTGGACTTGGACTTAGGACTGTAATAGTTAGACTAAAATTTGAGTGTTGTGATTGAGAAAATGGTAAGTTAAAGACTTAAAGTTAATTAAAATTTAACAAAATATTTACTCTATTTTATTTATGAAAAATATATAAATAATTATAAAATTTATATTTATAATTTTTCGGTTCGATTTGGTTATTTTTGCAGTTTTTTTTAATCAAACCAAATGATATCGATTTTCAAAATTTAAAACCAACAACCCAAATATGGATTTTTTTTAACCGGTTTGATTCGAATTGTGATTCAATTTGATTTTTTTATCATAACCATGAACAATTCTACACGTGTCTTGCAAATTCTGGTTGCAATTTTTTTTTCAATGTTATCTAAAAGTAAATAATATATATGTTATAACTTTTATTGATATATCATGGTCTTTAGATAGCAATTTTTTCTCATAAATGACTCGACTTTTATTGCTATAGACAAGATGATTCTACAAATAGAGAAATTATTGCTTGATCAAGTCAAATGAGAAAAAGAAGTCGATAGTAAATGTATGATGTGTTAAGTTTGATAAATACAATAATTTTTTAAATATTTTTCTGTGAAATTTATACAATCATAAAAGGTCAAGACATGTCGAACTGTATTAAGTTAATAATATCATATAGAATTTTAAAGTCATTGAACCAATTATAAAAATAGTAAGTCAAAATTTTTATCACTTCATCACCATAAAGACAAACTTAAAGTTTGCACCAAAATATAACTCACACTTTATTTTTTCCAAAATAAACATATGCTAATGTACCGATGAACTTCAACAAAGAGTTCATCAATTAAATGAATCCTAAATCTTCTAAATTACTACTATTCAGATATGTAAATATTTTCAAATTAACAATTGTATATATGTACTCAACATATATAGTGAAATGGAGAAATCTTTCTAAATTAACAAAATGTTTTTAAGTTTTGGGTGGCTCCATTATTTGTATTATCCCCAATTCAAAATGTTAGCCATTTTCTTCCAAATTTTGTAGTTTTTTTAAATTAATAAACGACGTGAAATTGTGTAAGCAATATATAACTAAGCTGTATTGCCTCTAACAATCATGTATTTTGTATTTATTAATAAAATTGTATATAAGAATAAATTATTAAAAGGTAGCCATTGATATTAAAATAGATATTGTAGCTCTTTAAATAATATAAATAAATAGTGTATGTCAAATATGCTATTATAGGTTGCATCTCTTTTTGTCTTCTTTTACAAATGATTTATTGGGTTTATATATTTTTTTCATCGCATTTGACTGTTTTATTATGGTAGAAAAATTTATTATCGATATTGATAATCTTCTATAACGTGCAATATATATTTATCCATGTGATATAATATTTTGAAAAATACAGTTCAATTTTTCGTGTAGTTTGACACTATAATTTACTATTTATTAGGAACAAATATATTTAAATTGAATAACTTTTCAAAATTATGATTAGATAATAATGTTATTTAACTTTCATATATATATATTTTATGTAAGAAAGATTTTAATAAAAAATAGTAAGTTGAACATAATGTACAATTATGTAACATAAACTTAACAAGTATCAGTACGAATACAAAAATATACTCTTAACTCATAAGGAAGATCATATATTCTTTTTGGTCAATCTCATTACACCAAATTACTTAATAGTACAACTTATATTTTTAATAATTAAAAAGGTAAAAATATTTTTAAATATAAAATAACATAATGTGAAATATGTTATTTTATCATTCTGATCAAATTTTCTGTCAAAAAGATTTTTCCTATTTTTATAATATAATTAGTATACGGATCCATGCTATGCGCGACCATTTTACTAGGCATTTAAAAGATAAAAAGGGTTTACGATTGTGGCACGCACGATACTTGAGAGTTAAAGAGAAACAATAATAATAATAATAGGAAAAGAAGCTTTGCCCAAACAGAATTGGGATAGCTCATATTTGGGTGTGGAAAAATTGGGGTAAAAGAAAACTCGAATCCACTTTATCTCTCTGAATTGGACTCAGAGAGAGAGGAAGGAGGAAGAAGACTTGTTTAAGCTTTTGGAGTTTTCGTCATTGGGTTTATAGAAATCTTCGACATTGAGAATGGATCAGATATTGAACAAAGTGGGTTCTTACTGGATAGGTAAGAGAGCCAACAAGGAGATCAATTCCGTCGGTGATGACATTAATGTAAGTCCCTTTCTCCCTTACATTCGGTTTGCTTATCAAATGTTGTATCGTTTTTATTTGAATTTTGATTGTTATGATCTAATTTTGGGGGATTCATTTCTTCTTTATGTTTGTGTAAGCAATTGATTGCATAATTTACCTGAATGATTAACAAGGTTTTCCTCAATTTTGATAAAAATTAAGTCTTTCTAGATAGGGTTTCTACTTGGTATACTGCGGTTCAAGCTGAGGATAGTGGGTGTGACCACAATTTCCATTTTTCTTTAATCAACTTCAGTGTCTCCTTCAATCCTGATTATTTGAGCTTTTCCTGTGGTCTAATTTTGGGAATTCTTAATTATGTTTGTGTGAAGCATTAAACTTTTACAGCTTTGATTACAAAATTTATGTTGACGGTGCAAAGCATGACTTTTGAAACTTGTTGTCCCTCTTTCCAATTCATGTGAAGATGGTTTGACTAGGCACAACATTTACGAACGAAAGGAAGACTTTTGAAACTTGTTGTCCAAAATAATCAGTAGGCATTTCTCATTTGTGTGACTAGAACTCAAACTCATTAAGGGTAAAATGAAAAGTTTAAAGTCAAATCGTTACTATATATAGAAAAGTTCCATTCTTTTTGAGACCGATCAAAAGAGAAAGAGAGTTACATAAATCGGAGCGGGGGGAGTATAGAATATTGAATATGAAGATACCATTTTGCTGATTCCTCTGCAGCTTGGTTATCAACTGGTGCCAATATATATATGATATTTTGATCTATGTTGTTGCTATTTACTTCCGTTGGCATTTTTGAGGATTATGTGGCGAGTGATGACGTTTGAAAATTGGTTCTCGGTATATATTTTAGATGTACTGCATATTCATCTGTACCGTGATATTTCGAATCAGATGTATTGGGAAAATGGCTCTTTGACTGTAAATGGGAATGCGGAACCCTTCTTAGTGGAAAATGGATTGATAACCAGGAAATGCCGCTAGAAATTTCTTTTTTTGGATCAGACTTCCACATACAACAAGCTTTAGTGGAGGCATGGTTGATGGTACCACTAAATTTTGTCACTGATTTGCTAAAGTTCACACCTTTTTGGATGAGCAGTATCTTCTCTCTCATGCTTTTGTTCTTCCCGTTTTTCTGTATTTCCTATGTTGTTCTTGGACAGTAGACAAATTTGGATTTGACATTGCTGGTCTAAGGCTCTTGTTACACTTCTTAAGTCCCGTTAGGACATGAGTTTTCTTTTTCTTTTGTTTTGAAAAATATTTTCATTGAACATTGTTTTTGGTTATAGATTAGAATGTTTTTTGGTTAGTTTTTGAAGGTGAATTTTTCAAATTTGACAAAGTGAATTTTTTTCTCACAAAACTTCAACTTCAACTTCTTTTTTCAAGTGAAATACATGTTCAACGCAACTTCATTTTCCAATACATTTTTTAACTTCAATACTAATTTTTTCCCAATATCACTCTGTTAATGTCCAAACACCTACTTTCTTGTTTTTAGAGAACAATATAATATTCTGTATATTCTATTCTGTGGAGATAAAGGAACCTTCGTCTCGACCTTTATTACATCTTCTTCGGCTTTATTATTTAACGTGAGCATAAACTTGACAGTTGGGCATGCCAATGAATGCTAGTGTGAAGCTGTTAACTGTGAATACAAGCGTTAAACAAATGAAAAACCTTTATCCTCAAGATGATGGTAAAAGCCAACAGAAACTTTTAAATTCTAAAATAATAAGGCCAGTAAAAACTCGTATGTTCTAGTATGATTAAAACTTAAAAGTATTATAATGTTATGATAGTTCTTCAGGAGAGAAAAATGGTAACCAAATCCACTTAAGTTTCCTGCTGCACTAAAGCTAATGAGCGTAGTTGATGGAGAGATTCAAAAGAATTTTCAATTCAGCAAAATCTTGATAATGTCACTTTTTTAGCACATCAATTGAAACCGATTTAGAGCTATTATTCCCTAGGAAGAACAATAGATGTTTGCTAAGTTTGAGTTGTTTGGCAAAGAGCAGTTGGTTCCTATAGTCACTTCTGTGTGGTATTTCTATATATCTGTTTCAGTCGTTTTGGTTCATACTGATCCTTTCCATTTCAATGATCAGTCATTGCAAAGCAGTATTGAAGGAGGAACAAAATGGCTAGTGAACAAGCTTAAAGGTTTGTGCTCTCTCTGCATAACTCACCATGCTTGCACTTCCATCCCCCACCTCACCCTTGTATGTTCAAAATGTGCTGTCTGATCCACTAGCACACCTGTCTTTCCCCAAGGCAGTTGGAGGGCAAGGACAGGTAAATAACATCGCTATGTTGCTGCCAAGAATATCTCACAATAATGTTTATGAATATTAAGAATGGTGAGTGAATTAGTTGATGAGAAATCAGGAGTGCCAGGGGGGGAACATTTCTTGTAAGAGTCTCTGAGTGTTTATTTGTGTGCGGTTTTCTTTTTTATTCGTGGAGAGGAATTGTCCAGCACAGTGAGGTAGCTTTTTGTTCACCAGGAGGGAACATTGGTTGAATATGGTGTACAGAGTCTTTCTCTAGTGATGTTTTTGTTGGGAGTTAGCTGTGGACTAGAAGACTATTCTATTCTAACTTGTCTTATTCCAAGTTCTTTATTCTCTGACCGGGAAGTCCCTTATTCATTTTCTTGAGGATTTCTAGCTATATCAACAAGTTTTATAGTATGTCGTTTGGTACAAGTGATAACCTCTTATCTTCCCTTCTTAATCTTGGTTTTGTAGGAAAAATGCAAAAGCCATTGCCAGATCTTCTGAAGGAGTATGATGTTCCTGTAGGTATTTTTCCTCGGGATGCCACCAATTACGAGTTCAATGAAGAGACACGAAAGCTCACTGTCTTTATACCCTCTGTATGTGAAGTTGGTTACAAGGATTCATCTGTATTACGCTTCTCTACAGCTGTTACTGGATATCTGGAAAAAGGAAAGCTAGTTGAGATTGAAGGAATAAAAACAAAGGTGATGGTGTGGGTAAAAGTTACTGCCATCTCTTCAGAAAAATCCAAGGTTCATTTCACAGCTGGGTTGAAGAAAACCCGAAGTAGGGAGGCTTACGAGGTTCTGAGAGATGGAGTAGCTATTGAAAAGTTCTAGTGAGATAATTGTCTTTGAATGTTCGATATACTATGAAGCCATTCTCAGGGCTCAAAATTACAACTTCTGTTTGTTAATTTCTGTCTCTTCTTTGTATGCTGCTGTGTTGGTTTTCTAAGTTTGATTTCAAAATATGTTTCTTACCTTGGCATGTTAGAGTAAGTAACAAACAAACCCCCCAACAACTTTGAACTGATATTACTACTTTGTTTAGACAGTCCTAGTAATAAAAAAAATGTTGGCATTTTATTTTCTTTGTTTTTAAACAAGAGAATGAGAAATTTTTTTGGATATATATACTCTACTCTATTTGAGAGGTACGAAATATAATTAGATGCAATTCTTTGCTTATACATGCTTACACAATTTATTTATTTTGGTCTTATACAATGATACACACATATGTAGTATTGTACAATTAGGTTGGATAAACTTTTTTTTTTTTTTTTTTTGTACAGATAATGTTTTCTTCTTTGACCACAAAATATACAACATATTTAGTAGGGTTAATTTGTGAATTGTCAATACACTGGGATGCTATTTTCTTCTTTTCCACATGTTTCATGTTTTGGAGGAAAGGTATATTTAAATAACTAGATATTATTTGTAAAATTTATAATCGAACACAACTTCATCTTCAACTGCAACTTCAAAAGTTTCAAATAAAGTGAAAAAATATTTATAATAGTATGATGTAGCTCATATATGAGATTTAATCCATGACATTATTGACTATTTATTCAAATAAATTCATAAAAAAAAATTATACTTATAATATGAATAAACTTAAATAAAATCAATAATAAAAATAAATATATATAATGTACAAAGATAATGCAAATTCGCATAACTTCATTATTTGCTTGTTTTGTTCAATCAAATTAATTTTAGTAGATTTATCAATCTTCCATTACTATATCCGTTGCATTTGCGCATGTTACATTTTCACTCAACTTTGGGTAGCATGAATTTTTTTTCCAACTTTTGTATCAAAGTTGTGCCACATGATTGTGAGTTGTGACTATCAACCAATTAACAGACCCTTTTGAGGCATGATGATATAAATTCACTTACATATAGGTAAAATAGGTTTGCAGAAATATTCATGCTACATCAATAACATTAATAACATACTTTGTGAAATTCCACAAGTGAAGTTTGAGCAGGATAGAGTGTACACAAGTATTATTACTATCTCGTATAGGTAGAGAGACTATTTTTGAAAGACATTAGGCTCAAGTACAACAATTTCAAGTATAAAGAATAAGAAAATGCAAAGCCTACAAGAAAAGAATACGAATAACAAAATAGTGTACGTAGTAGCCAAAACACAATAAGCTGATGATAGATATAAAAAATTAGAACTACAAGAATACGGTAAGTACAATGATAGACATCAACAAGTATGAACCCTAGAAAACAAGGCAACACTCCACTCTACCAACTAACCTTCTACCTTAATGCACGACCTCCACACCCTCCTCTCTAAGTTTGTCCTCGATAATCTGAAGTTGCATTATGTCCTATCTAAACACCTCTCCCCAATGCTTTTTTCAGCCTATCTCTAGCTCTCCTCATGCCTACTACCTCCAACCTCTCACACCTCCTTGCTGGGGCGTCTATGCATCTCTATTTCACATGTCCGATAATGGATATTACAATAATTACGGGCAATATATAGAAACTTCATCGATGACAACCAAACGTATGATATTGCAATACTTGGTGTGTACATGCTTTGCACGTGTGTCTAGTTTAGTGCACGTGCTTTGCACGTGTATCTAACGTCAATCAATAAAATTATGCATATATTTTCTTATATTTTACCTTCAACATTAATTACTTATTCTCCAAATCATTTTCGAAGATCTAAGTCATTATTAAATTAGAAAATTTAATAATTCAATTAAATGTACGTGCTTTGCACGTATATATCACGTTAGTTAATAATAAAAATAATAAATTATTGTGTGTATGTTACATTATTGCAAAAAAACACTACTTATATTAGGAAACATGTAGTGACCCACTCCAATTTTTACATTTTCTCTTCAATTAATGTATTATTTGTGTTGTCATCAATATAATGCTACCTTCGTCCCATTATTACAACAACTATATATAGAGGAGCCGCTACGTGATAATTTTTACCATCTAATTTTTTTTTGTTCGTTTAACGTGGTTGTTTCTGAAGATGGGATCGGAGACTTAACAAGATATACTAGGAGCGCTAGATCATAGTGTCATGCAATACTACATAAAGATTAAGCTAGACACATATCGAGAATACACTCAAGTTGCTAAAAAGAAGACTAATATAGTTTTAATCGGAGAAGGAATGGATACTACAATAATAGCGGGTAATAGTAACTTCATCTACGAAAATCAAACGTATGACACTGCAACAGTGGGTAAGTCTATGTATTATATTGTGTGTTACAAATTTCATTGATTTTGATTAATTACTCATTGTTCTAATTTAATTTGTAGGGGTACTTGGGATGACTTCATAGCCCAAGACATCACCTTTAGGAATGATGTTGAACCAATAAAGCATCAAGCAGTGACATTAAGAGTAGAAGCAGATTCTGCTTCGTTCTATAGATGTCGTTTGGATGGGTATCAAGATACCTTATATACAAAATAATGATCGTCAATTCTATCGAGATTGTGAAATCTATGGCACGATAGATTTTATGTTTGGTGACGCGCCGATCCTGTTTCAAAACTGCTTAATTGAAGTACGTGTTCCACTGCTCAAGCAGTATAACACAATCACTGCACAACACAGAGAGCTTGAGAACTCTACAACTGGAATAGTGCTTCAAAATTGCACTATAAAGGCTGCATAAGATTTGAACAGTGTCAACACATATTTTTGTCGACCATGGGGAAAATTCTCTAGGATAGTGGTATGAAAAGTTATGTAGACAACTTGATAAATCCTAAAGGATAGATTGAATGGATTGAATCTACAAACATTTGTTTTTTTAACTCCAATCATATTATCTTGAGTACAAGAATAGAGGACCGAATGCTATTACAAAGGGACGTGTAACATGGACATCCATCACTACGGATCCAAATATTGCATCAAATTTCACTGTCAGACACTTCATAAATGACGATAAGTGGATTCCTGCTAATATTCCACATTATCTAGATTTTTCGTAAATAACATCAAGAAATTTGTTAAAACGAGCTTTCTGTGTAAATGAGTATCATTGTATAGTCTTTCTACAATAATTTGATTTATATAAATCTTCTTTTTTTGAATTAAATCAGTAACAAAAGTATTAACAATAAACTCTGCTAATTATAAAATTTAGTTTCTTATAAAATAAAAATATTATAATTAGCATAAAAATGAGTATATAGGTGAAAAGAGAAAAAAAGAGATATATATAGTTTTCAATTAGTTTTTTTCCTTAAACAAGCCGAATATAATGTCATTGTTTGTTGTTGCAACTATGTTATCAGCCATAGATTTATGTTGTCAAAGTCAGCTAATAGAAATACCTAACGTTGTTGTTTCTCAAGACGGTACAAGAGACTAAAGGACAATATTTGAAGTAATATATCAGCACTAGATCATAGTGTCAAACAATACTACATAAGGATTAAACAAGACACGAATCGAGAATACAATCAAATTGATAAAAAGAAGACCAACATAGTCATAATCGGAGAAGGAATGGATACTACAATACGAGTAATAGAAACTTCATCAACGGCAACCAAACGTATAACATTGCAACACTAAGTGCGCACGTGCTTTGCACGTGTATCTAATTTAATGTACGTGCTTTGCACGTGTGTTATATATGTCAATTAATAAAATTATGCATATATTATTTTTATATTTTACCTTCAACCAATTACTTATTCTCCAAATCATTTTCGAAAACCTAAATCACTATTAAATTAGAATTTTATTTTTTTGATTAAATGTACATGCTTTGCATGTGTATATCACGTTAATTAATAATAAAAATAATAAATTATTGTGCGTACATTATTGCAAAAACACTACTTATATTAGGTTGCAATGTCTATTTGGAATATAATGTCATTTTTTGTTGTTTCAACTATGTTATCAACCATAGTTCTATGTTGTCAAAGTCAGCTGACAGAAACGCCTAATGTGGTTGTTTCTCAAGATGGGACCGGAGACTTAAGGACAATTAGTTGAAGCAATACTAGTAGCACCAGATCATAGTGTCATGTAATATTACATAAAAATTAAACAAGACACATATTAAGAATATATTTAAGTTGCTAAAAAGAAGACCAATATAGTCTTAATTGGAGAAGGAATGAATACTATAATAATAATGGCAATAGAAACTTCATCAACAAAATCAAACGTATGACACTATAATTGTGGGTAAGTCTATTATATTGTGTGTTACATATTTCATTGATTTTGATTAATTACTCATTGTTCTAATTTAATTTTTAGGGATGACTTCACAGCCCAAGACATTACTTTAGGAATGATGTTGGACTAATAAAGCATCAGGCAGTTGCATTAAGAGTAGAAGCAGATTTTGCTTCATTTTATAGATGTCGTTTGGACGGATATCAAGATACCTTATACACAAAAAAGACTGTCATTCTATTGAGATTACGAAATCTATGGCACGATAGATTTTATTTTTGGCGAGGCAACAATCCTATTTCAAAACTGCTTAATTGAAGTATGCATTCCACTTCTCAAGCAGTATAATACAATCACTACACAACACAGACAACTTTAGAATTCTACAACTGGAATAGTGCTTCAAAATTGCACTATAAATGCTGCCCAAGATTTGAGCAATGTCAACTCATATTTTGGTAGACCATGGGAAAAATTCTCTAGGACAGTGGTAATGAAAAGTTATGTAGACAACTTGATAAATCCTAAAGGATGAGTTGAATGGATTGAATCTACAAACAAATTTATTGTTCAATAACAATCATATTATTTTGAGTATAAAAATAGAAGACTGAGAGCTGTTATAATGAGACGTATAACATGTGCATCTGTCAGTATGTCAGTGGGGATCCAAATACTGCATCAAATTTCGCTTTCAGACACTTCATAAATGGCGATAAGCGAATTTCCACAAATATTCCACATTATTTAGATTTTTCCTAAACAACACTAAAGAATGTGTAAAAATGAGCTCTCTGTGTAAATGAGTGTCATTGTATAGTCTTTCTACAATAATTTGTTTTTTTATAAATCTTCTTTGTGGAACTTTATA